CTCATTAGGAATATCTTCAACACTCAAATAGTCGTTTCCTTTCCAAAGCACACGCTCACCCAGTTCTTTTAAGTAGAAAATTCTTAAGTCTGATGACTCAGTTTAGCTTGCAATATTAAATGGGTTGCTTTATTTGTCTTGAGGAAAAATGTGTTACAGTAAAGCACAAATTAACATGCTTTCATTAAGGTCTACAAGTTGTGCTGGATTAAATACCCTAGATGTTCGAAGCAGAGTCAAAGTTAGACTTTAAGAAGCAATCCTGGGGCCAGCCCTGTGACTCAGCAGGTTGACGCCCTGGCCTGAAGCTTCGGCATCCCATGTGGGTGCCCGTTCGAGTCCTGGCTGCTCCACTTCCAATCCAGCTCTCTGATATGCCCTGGGAAAGCAGTAGAAGATGGCCCAAGTCCTTGGGCCCCTGCACCCACGTGGGAGACCCGGAAGAAGCTCCTGGCTCCTGGCTTCGGATTGGCACAGCTCCAGCCTTTATGGCCAATTGGAGAGTGAACCAATGGATGGAAGACCTCTCTCTCTCTCTTTCTTTCTCTCTTTCTGTGCCTTTCCTGTCTCTCAAATAATTAAATAAATAAATCTTTAAAAAAAAGAAGCAATTCTATAGGACTTCTGCATTTTTTTTATTTTTTAGATTTTTCAGTACAACCTGGGTATTCTTCCTTGTTCCCAGATCACTACGTTATCCTTTTTACCTCTATAAGAACAACAAGTTCACAGGTAAATGAGAGCCACTCAGTAAGAATTCTACAAAGTTTTGGTAGAGCAGATTATCCTACTGCCTGTGACACTGACATTTAGAGGGCTGCTTTGAGTTCTGGTTGCCCTACTTTCAATCTAGCTTCCTGCTAATGTGCCTGGGAAGGAAGCAGATGATGGCTCTAGTGCTTGGGTCCCTGCAACCCAAGAGGCAAACCAGGGTGGAATTCCTGGCTCCTGCCTTTGGCCTGGCCCACTCTGGCCACTTGGGGGGTGTACCAGAAGATGGACAATCTCTTCCTCCCTCCTCTCTCTCTCTCTCTGCCTTTCAAATAAACAAATAAATCTTTAAAAATTAAAAGATATATAAAATCATCTAGGTCACCACTATGTATACAGAGGATATTGGTGATTGCCTATGGGATAGACTAAAAAAACTTCCTTCCATATTTATAAACTATACTTTATTGTAATAAACACTTGTCTTGAAAAACCAGTCATGGAGCCCTCAGAGTATCCTACTCTTCCAAGACAGTCCCTCTTCACAGACTCCAAAAATGTTGTGAATACACTTGTTGATGTCTTGTGTTTCCTATGTATCTTCTGGATTACAGGAATTGATTTGGAGGTTTGTGGGGTAGCCCAGTCATTCATGAATTTCACTGTGCAAGTTGACAACATCTATGCCATCATCTTCAAACCAACATTTTTCATTTTATTCTCATAATCGTTATTACATAAGTGGAACTAGTAACAATTTCAGCCTAAATTATTATGCATGGTAAGTTGCTTCTGAGTAATCTTTAATTTTTGAAACTGAAAGTGCACAAAAATTTTGGGTACAGAAGTGGAGATCTGCTTGCAAGTTGGTTTTTCTTGGCGATTCCACTGCGACTGGGTCCTCTGTATCACGTGACATTTCTATCACGTGGCCACAGCTTCCTGTATAATTAATGCTCTCTGCTGATTTGTAGCTAGTCCAAGGCATTGCTGTATGATTTTCTAAGTCTTTTTTCTGAGAATGCCCTTTTTATCTTTCTGTGCATCACTGGTTGTTATTTGACCTGAAAAATGTTATTTGAAAGGCTCTGTGATGTATACAAGCTCTCACACTCCAATCCTACTCTGCAGGCGGAAATCTTTACTTCTTCCGTGTTTTTGACCGTTGTTACCGTGCTTAAAACAACTCTGGAAACAGACACCACTTGCTGTTAGTATGACCTTGTACACATTCACTAACCTCTTTGTTACTAATTTTCCTGATTTGTAATGTGTGGATAATGAAGTTTACATGTGTGTTAGTATATGTAAAGCTTTTAGGACTATTCTTGGCACATAATCAAGACAAGTCTTAACTATTATTGTCATGAAATAGTTACACAGACTCTGATTCTGTTTAAATTATAAATGCTTCCAGTTTTACAACTTCTGTGCTGTTTCTGCATGCTTATCTTGCCATCTTGATTATTTATAGGAAGACATCACATAGGCAGTCTATGTTCTCATCTAGAGGCTATATTTTTCTTGGATACACAAGGAACACCTGAACAGATGAGAGAGCTTCATCATCACACAGGATATAGAGCATTTTTTTTTTTTTGTGGCTGCGTACCTCAGAGCCATTAGTGATGACTGCTCAGTTCACAAACTCTTCTGGCTCCCATGATTTCTGAAATTAAAAAAAAATACCAGAGGGGCTGGTGCTGGGGCATAGGGTAAGCCACTGCCTGCAGTGCCAACATCCCATTTGGGTGCCAGTTTGAGTCCCGGCTGTTCCACTTCTGACACAGCTCTCTGTAATGTGCCTGGGAAGGGAGCAAGTTCTTGGGCCCCTGCACCCATGTAGGAGACCCAGAAGAAGCTCCTGACTCTTAGTTTTGGTCTGGCCCAGCCCTGGCTGTTGTGACCATTGTGGGAGTGAACCAGTGGATGGAAGACCTCTCTTTCTCTCTCTGTATCTCTGTCCATTTCTCTCTCTGTATCTCTGTCTTCCAAATAAATAAAATAAGTCTTTTTAAAAAGTGCCAGATGTGTAAATACCAGATGTAAAATATGTCCCCCCAGATGGTTGATGGTCAGTGTAGACACACATGCACACACACACATACACATTCACGCATAGGTGGTCAATATTCTTGTTGCTGAAAGCTTGATGCCGCACTCAGCCTTCTTCCTTCTCCACAAAAGGGAATACATGTTAAAAACATTTTACTCAGGCCAGCGCCGCGGCTCACTAGGCTAATCCTCCACCTAGCGGCGCCGGCACACCGGGTTCTAGTCCCGGTTGGGGCGCCGGATTCTGTCCCGGTTGCCCCTCTTCCAGGCCAGCTCTCTGCTGTGGCCCGGGAGTGCAGTGGAGGATGGCCCAGGTGCTTGGGCCCTGCACCCCATGGAGACCAGGAAAAGCACCTGGCTCCTGGCTCCTGCCATCGGATCAGCGCGGTGCGCCGGCCGCAGCACGCCGGCCGCGGCGGCCATTGGAGGGTGAACCAACGGCAAAAGGAAGACCTTTCTCTCTGTCTCTCTCTCTCACTGTCCACTCTGCCTGTCAAAAAAAAAAAAAAAAAAAAAAAAAAATTTTACTCAGGGCCTGGCACTGTGGCACAACAGTTTAAACTGTTGCCCTCAGCACCAGCATCCCATTTGGGGGCCAGTTCAAGGGCCAACCGCTCCACTTCTCATACAGCTCCCTACTAATGTGCCTGGGAAAGCAGCACAAGATGGACCAAGTCCTTGGGCCCCTGTATCCATGTGGGAGACCCAGAAGAAGCTCCTGGCTTCTGTCTTTGGCCTGGTGTGGCCTTGGTTTTTATGGCTATTTGGGGGAGTGAACTAGTAGATGGAAGATTCTCTGTCTGTCCTGCTCTCTCTGCAACTCTGCCTTTCAAATACATAAATAAAATCTATAGACGATGCTCACCTGCTCGGAATAAGGCACTGGCCAGCTGCTAGTAAGTGCTGAGTACAGTTTTAGGAGGAATAGGTGTGGATCCATCACTTCAACCAGAGTTTATTAAGTAATTGGCTAAGTCTGCTGCTGAGAGGCAAAAGAATGACCAAGACTGAACTCATTTTGCTTATTCTCTATTTTAGGGAAAATTTCACAAGGCATCTGTCCCCCAAGCCCTGCCTGCTCTAGTAAGAAACAGATGTTTCCCCACATGGTTTCCTCACCAACTCAAGAACCACTTTTGTCCATACTCAACTTTCATAAATATTTCACCATTTGGCTCCTGCCTAGGATATAAAAATTTAGAAAGGGCATTATTCCTACTCTAACAACCAGGAAAATTACAAAAGGATTTTTCTTGAATCCATCCAAGAGCTGAGGTTAGGATGACCAGCTAGACCTTCCCAGATTTGGTACCCAAAGTCCCATATCCTGGGAAACCCCTTGGCCCCAGGCAAACTGGGACAGTTGTTCAATCCAGCGAGGGTCACATATCAATAAATAGCCTGACATTTGAGAAAAGATTGATCTCTACCAAACAGAAATAGGGTATGAGTGTGGCAGAAGAGATGTCAAATCGCATGTAACTCAGTTAGAATTCAGCTAAAATTGTTAATGAATTGCTGAATGGCAAACGTGTAAGTGTATGAGAATATAAAATCCCTGAGAGCCCCAGGCACAATGGGAGTTTCCACTTTCAGTCTCTTCTCTCTGGTCTCTACTGAGTACTGAAGAGAACAATTTGACACGAGGCAGGACTCTAGAGACAGCCTCTCTTGCTGGTGAGGGTCTGTTGGAAGGGAGTAAGCACCTACCGTGGGAAAGGCAAAAGTTCCCTGGACCTTGCCTTGCCTATCAACAATAGCTTCCTAGCGGGGAAGGGACAGTGAACTCTGTGGCTCCCAGGACATAGGTCAAAGATTTTCAAATTGAATAAGGTGGCAATAGGGAGAGCAAACAGCTTCCACCTCTGGGTAATGAGGGGCAGCGGACAGTCTCAGACCTAGGATCTCATGCCAATGCAATCAGAGATCACCTGTACTGAAAAATGGTCAGGAGACTCTCACCTTCTCAAGACCCAACAAAGGCACTGTGGGAGACAGGGTCCATCTCTCACAAGATGGCGCTGAGAGGAAGTGGAAAATGCAGAACTGAGAATGGAGTGTTGCAAATGCCAAATGACTGGGAGCTGACCTTATCATCGATTAGAGAACTGCGTGCACACCTGATTGGTCTGGTTGCTGCATGAACTGAGGGACAATTCTGATAGGTGGAAAAGGACTGTATATGGAAAAGAATACAGCGTAGAGCGCTCTTTTTTTTTTTTTTTCATCTTTTCTATCTTTCTACCCTGTAACATTTTCTATTAATAAAGCCCTACTGAAGGGGAAGCAAACAGCGTTCGGTGTCGTTCATTCGCGGGCGGGAGAGCGACAGCTGGTGCCGTGACTCGGGTACGCCGAACTGCTGGAGAGCGGGTAAGTACCCGGGAAAAGAAGATTTTGAACTAGGGAAAACCTAGGAAGGGAGCTGGGGGAGGCTCAGGAAGAATTGCTGATCTTGAACCAGGGAAAACCTAGGAAGAAAACTGAGCGAGACTCAAGAAGAATTACTAGGGACGCCCAGGTAGATTGTGCAGGAAATATTAACCACACCATGAGACAAGATGGGGAACACACCACAAAGTTACGACTGCTCCTAAGCCGATTGTTAAAATCAGCAGGCACCCCAGTAAAGGCAGCCACTGTCTGTGCTGTCTCCCTGGTTTGTGGAGAACGGTGAACTAGAACCAGAGCAGTGGAAACATGTAGAGCGACAGCTGCGAAGCGCCGGGGAGTCGGCTGAGGTAATGAGGCTATGGCAGCCGGTCGACCAGGCGATGCGTGACCCCACAGAAAGAGTAGGCGCGCTGCTCGATGAGGGAAGTGAGCTGTTGGAGAAAGTACAGGAGGAATCATGGCGAGGCAGTCAGACAACAGTCGTGACAGTAGGAGGGACGGCGAGGAAAAGAAGGAAGAATTAAGTGTGAGTCAGGATCGGACAGAGGAAGAATCAGAGGATGAGCGGCCCCGGAAGGAGACGTCAAGTCTTTATCCCAGCCTGACAAGGCTGGCGAATTTAACGTCGCAGGACGATCCACCCCCGCGATATCGCCCCCTAGCGTTGCCGAAGTCGCTACCATTAAATAAAGGTCCTTTTTTACCACAGCAGTATGGGGAGGAAAAGTGCTCAGTTGCTTTCCTGGGAAGATCAGGAAGGTAATAAGGGTAAGGTACAATCTTATGTTTGTGCGGTTCCTATTACCTTATGGGGAAGAGATGTTTTAGAACAACTAGGGATATTTTTAACCAATGAAGGCCAATTGGAGATCTCTCCGGGATGGAAGACTATGAGCCAAATGGGATATCACGGAGGAGGATTGGGACCCAGAGGAGAGGGCAGGAAGGAGCCCTTGCAGGCTAGGGGCAATCCTGGAAGACAGGGCCTGGGTTTTTCATAGGGGTCACTGCGAAGCAGCGGCTACCGCTGACTTGGTTAAATGATAAGCCAGTGTGGATACCGCAGTGGCCCCTTACCGAGGAAACGCTGGCTGCCATACATGAAATAGTACAGCAACAATTAGAGGCTGGTCATCTGCAACCATCAACCTCCCCATGGAATACGCCAATATTTGTAATAAAGAAAAAGTCAGGAAAGTATCGCCTATTACATGATTTAAGAGCCATTAATAACCAGATGCAACACATGGGGGCTTTGCAACCAGGATTACCAGTACCAACAGGATTCCAAAAGATTGGCCTTTAATGGTGCTTGATCTCAAAGACTGTTTTTTCAGCATACCGCTGCACGAGCGGGATACTCAGAGGTTTGCCTTTACTGTACCCGCCATAAACCACCAGGGTCCAGATAAAAGATATCAGTGGACAGTACTCCCCCAAGGCATGGTCAATAGTCCTACCATATGTCAACTATATGTATCTCAGACTATTGAACCTGTACGTCAACAGTGCTCAAGAGTTAAGATTTTTCATTACATGGATGACTTACTAATATCAGCACCTAGTGAGAGTCAATTAAATGAGGCATACAAGCTGATGGTGACATGTTTAGAAGATGCAGGATTACAAATAGCTCCTGAAAAGGTACAAAGAGATACTGTAGTGTGCTATTTGGGGCTTAGATTGATGCCGGAGAAGGTAGCACCCCTAGAATTTACAATAGCTACGGAAGGATTGAAGACCTTAAACGATTTTCAAAAACTGTGCGGTAATTTGAATTGGATAAGACCCTATTGCAAGCTAACTACTGAAGAGATGATGCCTTTATTTAAGATATTAGAGGGAGACCCCCAACTTACCTCACCACGCGTGCTAACAGCAGAGGCTCGGCTAGTATTACAGAAGGTGGAAGCACGGCTTAAGGCCACTCAGATGGAGAGGTGCGATTTAGCAAAACCCTTGGAGGTGCTGATTTTTGTTGAACAAATTTACCCCTTTGCAGTAATTTGGCAGGGAGGCCCTTTATTGTTTGTTTATCTGCATTCGCATGTGCCTCACATTTGGTATACCCAGGGCTCTGCAGTGGCAGATTTAATATTAACAACAATAAAAAGGACCACTGAAATTGCGGGAAAGGTTCCAACAAGGTGTGTAGTGCCCTTTAATAGAGATGCAATGGAAGCTCTTATAAGAGAATGCTGGCAATGGGCATACATAGCCCTTGTGCTGCAGGTAGAAATAGACAATCACTATCCATACCATCCTTTCGTCACCTTTGTACACATGTTTTAGTGACAAGGGTGCAAAAAGTGCGCAAAGAGCCAATTGAAGGAGCCCCTACCGTATTTACAGATGGAGCCAAGGGAGGAACTGGAGCCGCTGTAATTGGTAATCAGCGGTACTTTGTGTTGGCTGCATCCCCCTCTCCCCAGCATGCAGAGTTAGCCATTATTGCAGTTGTTTTACGTAAAGAGAATGGTCCATTGAATGTGTTATCGGATAGTGCTTATGTGGTTAATGCAGTGAAATTGTTGGATAAGGCTTGCAGTATTTCCAGATTGTCCACGATATATGCCTATTTAAAGGAAATTCAAGAATTGTTAATACAGAGACATCATCCTATATTTATAGGGCATATAAGAGCACATTCGAATCTACCTGGCCACTCAGCCGGGGCAATATGCTAGCTGATCATTACTCACGCTTTTTGCTTGCCTGCACCGTTGTTAATCAAGCCAGAGAGTATCATTTTAAATGGCATGTGAATAGCACCACTTTAAGTGTGAAGTATAATATTGCCCGTAAGCAAGCCGAGGATATTATAAAGTCTTGTGAAAGGTGCGTGATTTCCATAGCCCCCAAAATTCCGGCAGGCGCCAACCCCCGCGGCCTTAAGCCGTGTCATATTTGGCAAATGGATGTTACTCATATTCCTTCTTTTGGACGGCAAAGTTGTGTTCATGTGACAGTGGACACGTATTCAGGCGTGGTTATGGCCACAGCCCTGAATAATGAAGGAACACAACAAGTTATTCAGCATTGTTTACAATCCTTTGCAGCCTGGGGGATTCCTCAGATTATCAAAACAGATAATGGGCTGGCTTGCACGTCAGCACGTCAGCACGCTTTGCTATGTTTTTGAAGGAATTTGGTGTTATGAATATTACCAGCATTCCTTATAACCCCCAAGGTCAAGCCATTGTGGAACGAACCCATTTGTATTTAAAAAATTTAATTAATAAACAAAAAGGGGGAATAGGGGAGCTAGCTGTATCCAATAAGGATGCATTAGCCTTGGCCCTTTATACCATTAACTTTTTAAATAAAAAACAAAATGGCAAAACACCTGCTGAGATGCATACCCAAATAGCCAGTGAGGAGTCAGTACAATGGATTATGTGGAAAGATCTGCAAGATAATAAATGGAAAGGCCTGTTTCCTTTAATCAGAAGGGTATGAGGCGCAGTATGTTTTTTTCCACAGGGTGCATCCCAGCCAATTTGGACCCCAGAGAGAAGGACTAAGTTGGTGAATCAACCACCGGAAGAAGATAAGGATGAAGGACAGTTTGGGGAAGAGCAGCAAGTCGAATATGTGGACGTTGTTTTTGCACAGTCTAAGCATCAGCTTGCACAATAATTACGGAGTGGAAGGAGCCGAGTTCCGGGGCCTGTTAAGAGCACTGCCCCTGCCATTGTCAGTAACCAATTCCTCTCCTTATCTGCCCAATGTGTTCGCAGGTAATAGTACTTTATCTAAATATAATTTGCCAACAGTGCCAGCAAGAAATGGAACTCAGCAGTTAAATTTAACTATATCTTTGCCGGGATCCCTATGCTTTAGGATTATGAGTCGAGAAGACTGGAATAACATGGACAATGAAACAAAGCCATGCATTTGTTTGGGCAATCAAACAGTGGGATATTTTCAGGGGAAGAATTATGCCGGAAGGGTTGTGGGGTTTAGCTCTGGATCTGTCCCTTAGATATGCCCAAAGCAGGAATGCGGTAACAGCAGCTATACAATGCGTACTATTTTATCTGAGTGTGGAAACAAGGTGACTTGGCCACCAAAGTTTACCACTTGTCAAGCCACATTCACCACAACACAGGTCGGTGTGGGATTTTGGGTTTCTTCCAAATTCACTTATCAGGATGAGTCTTTTGGCAGATACAATTGGACCTATGCGAATCCCCAGCAGTCAATTTCCACCAACCCTTGGGATCCATGGATTATGTGCAACAGTGCTAGAGGCTGTATGGACCTATCACATGGATTCCTGTGCCCGCAACGGTTGAGGAAAGGGATTTTGCAGTATTGATAAGATCTCACCGGGATTTTGGAATAACCGCAGCATTAGTTACCGCGGTAGCAGCCGCCACAGCCGCAGGTATGGCTGCAGTAGCTGAACTGCAGTGGTCCTTGGCGGTGGTGTTCTTGGACGCATGCTTTTAAGGTTCTCCCAATGGCAGTGACAGGCGGAAGTCATTTTGAAACAAGCAATGATCGCCATGCACCAGCCAAGAGGCAACCCCGAAATGTGGCTTAGCATGCTGGAGCGGTAGTCAAAGATGGGTAAGCACCTGCGGGCAACTCTAGTGACCTAAGACAGAGGACAGGACATGCTTCCTGTATCCTTGATGACAGGTAAGCAGAGTATGCGCCCCAGGGCACCTAGGACAGGCACGTATCCAGGCCACTAATAAAAAACAAAAAAGGGGGAACTGTGGGAGACAGGGCCCCTCTCTCACAAGAAGGCGCTGAGAAGAAGTGGAAAAATGCGGAACTGAGAATGGAGTGTTGCAAATGCCGAATGACTGGGAGCTGACCTTATCATCGATTGGAGGAGAACTGCGTGCACACCACGTGGACTCAAACCTGATTGGTCTGGTTGCTGCATGAACTGAGGGACAATTCTGATAGGTGGAAAAGGACTATATATGGAAGAGAATACAGCGTAGAGCGCTCTTTTTCCCCCCTCTTTTCTATCTTTCTACCCTATAACATTTTCTATTAATAAAGCCCTACTGAAGGGGAAGCAAACAGCGTTTGGTGTCGTTCCTCCGCGGGCGGGAGAGCGACAAGACATGAGAGTTGTCTGTCATGGGAAGGATGGCATCCAAGACTGTTGAGAACTTGGTATACAAAGCTTGCTTAGAGTGAGAACGAGCGAGCAGGAGTCTTCTGACTTCTGCCGTGTAATAAGCAATTGGAAAGCCAAAAGCCTGGAGCCCCATTGTGGTACAAGCTCAAGGGGAAGGCTAAAACTGAGAAATAGGGGAATTGAGAAAATCCCTTTAGCACACTACCCTAAGAGGAAATTAAAACTGGTGTTGTACTGAAGGTAGAACAATAAAGCCCAAACCCAGCTTAATGATTGAGTAGACTGATTTAACACCTGGCGTTACTGCCTATCAGAGGAAGCACACATAGTTTGGATCATAGATTATATTAATATCTACTGTTATTCATAAGATGTCTGACATTTGACAAAATATTGTGAGGTGCATAAAAAAGGAAAATACAATTCTGTGTTCTAATCAATAGAACCAGATTTAGAGATATCCAAGATGTTAGGACCACAACAGAGAAAATTTAAGAAAACTTGTGATTAATATACTAATAAAATACACTGAAAATTTTAGTGGGAAAAATGGACAACACAAATGAACAAATGGGGAATTACAGCAGAGAAAAAATTATACATCAAATGGAAACATTAGAAAAAGAAGACAACAGAGATAAAGCAGTCAAAAGCAGGAATTCTCAACCACGGGCAAGGTTGCCTCTCATGAGCCATTTGGCAATGTCTAGAGACATATTTTTGTTGTTGTTACAGTGGGGGTGGGGGTGGGGCCTGGGGTACTGTGCTACTAGTATCTAGCAGGCAGAAGTGCTAGGGACACTGCTAATTATGCTACAAGTCACAGTGAAGTGCCATACCACGGAAGAGTATCCATTGCAGAATGTCAGCAGTGCTCAGGGTGCTCCAGGTTGACTGATAAAAAAAAGAGAAGACACAAATGATCAACATCTAGAATGAAAGGGGACAGCACTCCAAGTCCTGATACATGAAAGTGATAGGATGCTGTCACAAACAACTGCATCCCCACAAGGCCAACAAGTTAGGTGAAATGGGCAAAATTCCCTTGATGACACAAACTATCAAAGCTTATTTAAGTACAAAACATGAATGGTTGCATGTCTACTAGAGATATTGAATTCATAGTTAAAAACCTTCTAACGGGGCCGGCACTGTGGCATAGTAGGCTAAGCCTCAACCTGTGGCTCCGGCATCCCATATGGGTGCTAGTTCATGTCCTGGTGTTCCACTTCCAATCCAGCCCTCTGCTATGGCCTGGGAAAGTAGTGGAAGATAGCCCAGTGCCTTGGGTCCCTATACCCACATGCCCACATGAGAGACCCAGAAAAAGCTCCTGGCTCCTAGCTTTGGATTGGCCCAGCCCCAGCCATTGAGACCATCTGGGGAATGAACCAGCAGATGGAAGATTTTCTCTCTGCCTCTCTCTCCCTCTGTAACTCTACTTCTCAAAGAAATAAATGAAATTAAAAAAAAAAACAAAAACTCTTCTAACAAAGAAAACTACAGGCCCAGATACCTTCACTTCCAAAAGCCAGAGATCAGAACAAGACCAAGCCAGCATTTCTTTTTCTTTTTTTTTTTTTAATTTTTAAAACATTTTGAAGGTTTTTATTTAATGAGTACTAATTTCATATGTACAGCTTTTGGGAATATAGTGTTTCTTCCCCCTATTCCTGCCCTCCCACCCCGACTCCCATCCTACCTCCCACTCCCTCTCCCATTCCATTTTTCATTGATTCATTTTTAATTATCTTTATATACAGAAGACCAACACTATACTAAGTAGAGATTTCAACTGTTTGCACCCACACAGACACACAAAGTATAAAGTATTGTTTGAAGACAGGTTTTATCGTTAATTCTCATAGTACACCTCATTAAGGACAGAGGTCCAACATGGGGAGTAAGTGCACAGTGACTCCTGTTGTTGAGTTAACAATTAACACTCTTATTTTTGACATCAGTGACCACCCGAGGCTCCTGACATGCAAGCTAGCATTTCTGGGTGCACATCTCTGCTTTATTTGATGCCAGGAAGAATACTTGAGTTTCAACTTTCTAGAAATTGCAGGAAGCTCAGAATTTCAAGTTACGTCTTCCATGGCGCCAGTCTCCATTTTTCCCCTACCTCTCCCATCTCATGTTTCCAGGGTTTCCCGATTATTTCACATTATTTGATGCAGACACCTCAATCCTGTCTCAGAAAGCTGACAATTTTGGCACTGAAGTTTGGCCTCTGCAAGGTGGGGGAAAGGAGAGCCTCAGAAAGTCAGTAACTTGACCTGATGGTAGAAGTTCTCCAATTTCCACTTGTCCAGGCTTTTCTGCCTAAAGCTTTCTTACTTTCTTAGGAAATTAAGTGTCCATGTGATGGTAGCTCCTCCCACATGGATGAGATGGTTTCATTTCACCTGTGCATGTCCGAGGGAGCAGAGATCCAAGTTCTGGGCTTTGGTCCAGTAGTGTAGCACATAAGGGAAGCAATGCATCAGCAAAGCTGAGACTGAGCTGCACCACAGAACAGGTTAGCAGTGAGGAGGCAAAGCAAACTCCTGGGTGAGGTAGCTCACATATGAAGCCAGATTCTTCCATGGGAATACAGAGGCTAAGTTGGAAACACTCAAGAAAATGTGGGGATACCACAGCAAGCTGCAGCCATGCCACGGAAGCCACCTCAAAGTTGGGAGAATGACGGCTCTGGTGGCTACTACAGATTTGGAGATTGATCACTTCCTTTTTTTTTTTTTCAGGCAGAGTGGACAGTGAGAGAGAGAGAGAGAGAGAGGGAGAGAGAGAGAAAGGTCTTCCTTTTGCCGGTGATCACTTCCATGGGCATTTTTCAAAGCAACCCCCTAGTAATAGTTTTTCTTTTTCAAAGACTTATTTATTTACTTGAAAGACAGAGGCAGAGAGAGAGAGAGAGAGAGAGAGCGAGAGAGAGAGAGAAAGTCTTCTATCCTCTGGTCAGTCCCCAGATAGCCACAATGGCCAGAGCTGAGCCCATACCATGTCAGGATCCTGGAGCTTCTTCCAGATTTCTTACATGGGTGCAGGAGCCAAAGGGCTTGGACTGTCTTTGGCTGCTTTCCCAGCCACATTTGCAGGGAGCTAGATCAGAAGTGGAGCAGCCAGAACTCAAGCTGGCCCCCAAATGGGATGTTGGCACTGAAGGCGACAGCTTTACCTGTTCTGCCACAGCACCAGCCCCACTAGTAATAGTTTTGCATGGAGAACCTCACAGTATAATAAACTTGGATTTAAACCCTCTTGAGCACATACATTTGAGATTACTTTCCAGAGAACAAAAGTTTTAGGAAGATTAAATTAGGACCAGCATTCAACACACAATGATTTAAAGCTATACTGTTCTCTTGCCACACTGCTTTTAAGAGCCATTCAATACACTAAATGGGAGTCCCTCCACTGTCTATTACATAACTAAAGGAGACTGCTCAAGTTGAGAGCCTAAATTTACAGATCATTTTCTGTCCCCAGCTCTATTTCATACTAGAGCAGCAGGCAATTTCTTCATTAGGGTCAATTACTTTTGAAGGTGGCCAAAGATGCCATAGCATCATAATTTGTAACCATATAATAACTGGAAATGAAAGTTGGTGGGTGAGAGCCCTCTGCTACTACTTTCCCCCCTCTCTGCAGTTTCTCTACTGTGCACTTCTTCAAAATTGAGCAATCAGCCAATACAGTGGAACTAGCCCTGCCAGCAGCTGCCTCGGTTCCGGTGTAGCAGCTGGCAGAAGATTAAATTCTTCTGTCCTGTCAAAGTAATGACTAATTCTGCCTTCCCAGACTGCCTGTGGTTAGGGTGCAATTTCTTTTACTGCCAACACCTTTAGTCTGAGTTGAGCTGGTTTAGTAAGGTTGTCTGGTTTGAACGGGATATGAACAGGGTAGGGAGTGATATTTTCTTGGGGAGCAGGGGCAGTGTCACTTGTTTGAAAGGAGAGGCAGTTTTTGTCTGAACATTTTAGGTAAGCCATTTCCAATACTCCAAACCCTTCAAAGTAGTACTTTCCAAATGAAATAGGGGACCCATTTAATATATAGTAGAAAATTCTCTAGTAGTCACATCCAAAACATCATTTCAACATGTAATTAATGTAAAGATGAATAAAGTGCTTTAAAACTAAGACATTGAAATGTGATGTGCATTTTACATGTATAGCACATCTTATTTCAGACGGCTCATTGCAAGAGCTCGTAGCCATGTGTGGTTTGCTGAGGGTGGGACAGCTCAATGTTAGAACCCCGCAAGTGCCCTCCCTTGGAACATCTCCCACATCAGGACCAGCAGTATGGCCACCATGCGCATCCGCATCCTCAGAGCATCTTTCCAGGGTGCCTGTCTCACACATCATCAGCTGATTTGTCACCGGACTCTAACCTGAGACAAGGGCCAAACACCGTTTCCCCTGGGGGTAGCTGTTTCACGTTCTGTGCATCTCAGCTCTCGGATTACAAGGACTCTCAGCCTAGTTAATGGAAAGACCCCTCCTCTGTCTCCTGATGTCTTAGCGGCTGGTAAGACGTGGGGAGAACCCCCTTTAAGTACTGATTCACATACTTACTTGTCTGCAAAGCAAGCCTTTGAGAAAAGATGAGAGTTGGGGCCAGGCCCAGCGCAAAGCGAGCATGCACAGCCACTTGTTTAAAATTTGAGAGCTTCAAATTTGAGAGCTTCCGGATCGCAGCAGCAGCGCACGGAGGAGCACAGAGCGTTCCTGCCCCTCATGGGGCCGCACAGCTCGGGCCCCGTGAGGCTGGCACCCGCGGTGCTTGAATATACCAAGGAGCTGCCGATGTGTCCAGGGCATGGAGGTTCCCGACTCGCCTTGGGGACCCGGGACCTTACAGGAGACCCCACCCCCATGTCCACTGGGATTCAGTTGCAGTGGTAGCTTGATGTGGTTTCAAACAAATA